AGAATAGATTTTTTCGAGCTGCGGGACATGGGGACATTGAATGATTGGTTGAAATGAAATCAAGACTACTTTAGCTATTTGTTTCTATAGAATAGATTTTTTCGAGCTGCGGGACATGGGGAAATTAAATGATTGGTTGAAACGAAATCGAGAGTATTTGAGCTATTCGTTTTTATAAAATAGTTTTTTTTCGATGCTCGTGATATGGGGGGATTGAATAATTGCTTAAATGTTTAGTGTTAGCAAATTCGTTGTTAAAAAATTGAAATTGAATAATTCATGCTATTTAGAATAGCAGCCGATCTGATGTTGGATTGATTAATAATTGGACTATAAACGGATTGTTGATAATCTATTCAATCGACTTATTGTGAGAAAGTTTATCAATGTAAGATTGTAGCTTAGAATTAAGAATGCTCATTTTTTTGTAAGAGATTCACATGAAAAAAAAATTATGTAATTTAAAACAAACAGACATAGAATGTGTTTCTTGATTGAATGTTCCATAGCAATGAACATCAATCGATTAATTATAAGGAGATCAATAAAGCCCATAAAATTCTAATATTCACTAAATAAGAATGGTTAAGAATAAAAATTTTCTATATGTAAGTATTTTAAAATAACTCAAAATAAATCATAGAAGTTCGACCAATCATTTAGAATCGCTAAAATTACAAAAGTTGAATATAATAGTAAACAAACATTAATTATCGTGTGACTCATATTATTAACATGCATTCCAAACTCAACTGAATTCCCATGTCAACTGTAACATATTCATATGGATGTTAAACAGATCGTTTTCTGTTGCACAAATGAGTAGCCTGTTCATGAGAACTATCTTGGATCATATCATTTGGATATGAATTATTATCATTATTAATTCAAATTCCATGTCGTCTTTTTTTAGTGAGTACGACGCAGTTACGCCGTAATTGCACCGTATTTCAATTGTAACTGCGAAATACTGCGACGCAGTTACGCGTAATTACGATGAACAAAATTGCAGTAGCACGTAACTCCGATTTGTTTTTTCGCAACTACACGTAACTGTATCACAGTATTTCTTAGTTACAATTGAAAGGCAACGCAATTATGGCATAACTGCGTCGTAATTTGATCGTAATCGAAAACATGGAATAAGTATTCATTTTAATTATTATTAATGAATCCTGTATGAGTAACCGCTGACGTGTATGAAACACGTGCCTACTGATGTAGATATACTAAAGAAAGCCGGAGAAGAAGCAAACTTGACTGATTGCTATCGTGTAGAATGACGAATGATTGACTACGCAATAGCTTTGCCTATATTCACGATTTATTAATCCGTTTTTTGTATTTATATTCACCAAAAAAAGAACATTTTATATCATGTTGAAGACAACAAACTACTGTTAATATGGAAGAGTTACACCAAAGTATAGTAAGTCAAATGGATTATTAACGAGTTTAATTCGTTGTATGAGAAGATAATCAAACTCTTCGTTTATTGTACTATTCATTTCAACATATAATGTGCTTCACTGTTTCTTCAATAAATTTTGATGGAAACATCATTGAGGAGATCTACGGTTTTCACCAGTCAAGAGAGTAGACCACAGACTACCATCAAAGTATATCGAGAGTTAAGTGATCAATAATTGACCAATCAAGTAAGTTCTTGACGGAGACTATTGAAAAACGATATTCCAGAGCTCTTTACCTTTCGATTTAAACTTTTAATTGGACTACTCGATAGAAAAATTTCTTCTTCAACCAATTGGTCTGTCATCACCCGTAAAAGCTGCTAGGCAGTGGCAACTCACCATACTAAGTCGAATGGTAATATTTACTTTATAAATTCAAAATGATTTGGTACTGTTATCTCAATACTTCTGAAATTCCACAATCAGTCTCTATCCTATATCTTCGATTACGATCGAACTGCGGCGCAGTTGCTAAAAAAAGAGACAATATGGAATAAGATCCTCATTTATTAATATTTTTGTTTATAACTATTCTCAATCTTGAGTATTTTCATAAAAATTGACCAAAGAATAACCATAGATGAAGAATTCAAGTTTGTGGTCAGACTTTTATTTTAATATTTTTATTATGAATAATTAACAATTCATAACAAAACTTTAATCATATGAAAGTCTGATCTCAGATTCGAATTCATGACTCTTGAAAACTCTCTAGTCTCTGTTTTGTTTCCAAAAAAGTGCATTCAGACTGTACATTCCATCGGTTTTAGCAGAATGAAATATGAACCATACTCTCACGAAGAGTTTCTTTTATACAGTCGTTCTATGGTTAAGTTTTGGTGCTAGAGTGTGACCAATTACAAGTAAGATGGAACTGTTTATGATATATTGGTATCGGAAATCTTCAGCAAGTACTCACCTGATTGATCAGTTGCTGACCAATCAAATCTTGATGCAGTTCGATGATCCTGGGTCTTCTCTCTTGAGTGACGAAAATCGTAGGTCTCTATGATGTTCCTATCAAAAGTTATTCGAAAAATAGTAGAGTACATTATATTTTGAAATGGATAGTAATTATGCTTGCACAAAGGGTTAATTGGTTTTTGAGAGTATGAAAAAATGGAACTGCTTTTCGTAGTGAAAAGTTTTTCTTTTAAATTTTTATAATTGTTTGACATTATATAGAATTCAAATGGATGGTCAAAACGTAATCGTCTTGTTCGTGATATTCCTGTTGATTGTCTCGTCTCAAATCAAGAAAATATTAGTATTGTATGGTTTAATTCAATGTTAGCAGAAACAGATCTTTCTGATTTATCGTTTACTCATCTTCGTACTCTTAATGATTATATTTTATTTTATACTCAGAAATCTTTATATCTGGAATATTTAATGTCAAAACATAAACAAAATGACCATATTATTGTTATATTACATGATATTGAAATTCTCGATCAAACACAAAATTGTGAACAAGTTCGTGCCATACTGTTGATTATGACAGATGATGACAAAAATAAAAATATTATAACCGAACGAGATTATAAAAAAGTTGTTGGTATAATTGCTGATCAAAATTCAATATTTGTTAAACTACAACAAATAATTGTCGATGTCGAACATCAAGTTGCTCAAAATGTCGGAGATGTATTTAGTACATTCAATCGACAAGAAAGAACTCTACGAGATGTTCGACATGAATTGGCTGTTTTTATGTGGCGTCAAGTTTTCAAAAGTGAGTACAAGAGAGCAATGTAAGGTTAGACTGAACATTTTTTTTTGTTCTATAGTTATGGTCAAAACAATGCCTCATACACTCGAAGCTCGACAAGAATTGATTGATCAATGTCGTTTATATTACAATGGAAATCAAAGTCAACTGGCTCAAATCGATGAATTTGAGCGTAACTACAATGCAATCAATGCTGTTCGATGGTATACAAAATCATGCTTTCTCTTTCGTTCGCTTAATAAAGCTCTTCGTACGGAAGATGTAGGAAGTCTGTATATATTCCGATATTTTATCAATGATCTATGCACAATTCTTGAAGCAGCTCATGATGATAAGCGTAACATAATACAAGTTTATCGTGGCGGTCAAATGAGCAAAGATGAAATAGAAAATTATAGTGTTGGTACTATTGTAGCAGCTAATGGTTTTCTATCAACATCTCGTGATTTACAGGTTGCTCAGCTATTTATAGGATTAGATATGATAACAGGAAAGTCACCAAGTCAAAGTCGAGATGATCAACAACAATTTGTTCTCTTCATAATCAATACTGATTGGGATCGTTCACCAGATATAAATGTAGCTGATATAAGTAATCAAAGTGACTTTCCAGATGAGAATGAAGTTTTATTTGATATGGGTACAACATTTGAAATAACTGCAATCAACTATGATTGGGAACAGTATTTATGGCATATAGAAATGCAACCATCGATGGAAATTGCCCAGTTGAATCGAGAATATGAACATTACATTCATCAACGATTGGCAGAAACAAATTCAACTTTACTTTTTGGTATTCTACTAACCGATATGGGAGAATATGAACAATCAGCCAATTATTTTCAACATCTTTTAGCAAAAATGCCTGATAATCATGAAGATCGACCAAATGTATATTATAGTGCAGCACGTATTTACCGTTTTACTAATCAATATGAAAAAGCATTGAAATTTTTACGTCATGCCGAACTTCTACAACGTGCAAGATTACCCGGATCTAATTTTGATTTAGCTCGAACTCTAGCTGGTATTGCTAGTGTTTACTATGAATTACAAGACTATCAACAAGAGTTATTCTATTATCAACAATCGATGAATATTTATCAAAAAATTTTACCTGAGAACCACATCGAAATTGCTCGTACATTTAACCGTTTAGGATTTGCTTATGCAAATCAAAAACAATACACTTTAGCATTAACATATCTATCAAAATCATTGTTTGTTTACAATAATACAGTACCTGAAGTTCATCCGGACAAAGCCTTTCTATTATATAATACAGGTTTAGTACATCATAGATTAGGACATATTGCTGAGTCATTTGATTTCTATGAAAAAGCATTGAAAATGCGTGAGACAACATTACCACCTTATCATCCTTATATAGGTCAGTCATGCTATCAATTAAGTGTATTATGTGAAGAACAAAGTCAGTATGATTTAGCGCTGGAATATGCTTATCGAGCATTGACAATCTACGAAAAGAAACCATCGAATAATCATAAAATGATATGCGATGTTCAGAATATAATTAAACGTCTTCACAATGAATCAAACGTTCAAATATGATTATTTGTTTTTTTTATATAAGAAAAACTGTATTCGACTTTTTTTTCTGATGATGATTATCAACTATTTCATTTAATCTACATAATGTAATTGCTCCATCTCACATATGTTCAGAATAATTGCAATATTAACAATTACAACAAGAATATAGAATCAACCAATGTTTAAAAAAATCTGCATTTCATGATAATATGTCTTTTCTTGTATATTTAACATCAATTTTTATGATAGTTTTAATTACAATACTGTAATACTTTTGAGAAGTACAAGCAACACTTGTTTTCTCATTTCAACTAAGTATTTCCATTAAGATTTGTTACTATGCAGAATTTCAATTGGAATTTCAAGAAACAATCTTTTTAATTTTAGATAGGCGAGAAAACGCATAGTATTTGAAAAATACCGTAAAAATGAAATATGTCAGTAACAATAAGGGATGGATTCCTATTCCTTTCAGGATGTTCTTAATCCATTAGAACCAACATGATATATATAGTCGAAAATTAAGAACAATTGATTAGTGGATGAGTTGTCTCATCAGATTATATTTTTATAAGTCATTCTTTTAAGAGACAGAAAAGTTGAATTTTATAATACTATTATTGGTATACGGTAAACACTAATCATAAAGTTTTGGTGATTGATGCAAAACATTATTTAGTTTTGAATTTTTCTGTATGCGAAATTCTGTTTCAGTTTTAAATTATATGATGCATGATCCAGATAATCTTTAATTGAATACGAAGAATTTTCTCAGTAGTTATAATATTCATAGTTAGTGTTCTATTATGTCTGTTGTTTTTCCAATATTTACATATTAATTTTAAGAATAAAACTAAATTTTTCTTATCGTTTTTATTAGGTAGAAGTAAAGAAGGATGATTACACTATAAAAAAAAATAGAGATTTTAAATTGCCGTGGACATTTCCTAGACCATAGTCAATACGAGAGTATTTGTCTTCAAAAAAGTATATGATCTCATTATACTGTTCCATTACATAATAATGTTACGCAATACGATGACAGTTTTTATCTTCTTTCTACGTTTCTCATATTTGAAAAAGAACGTGTTCAGACAGCAGTGTACTATTCAAAAATCACAGTAAACCATAAGTAATGCCTTTTTTTGTTGATTAATAACAAATTGCTATTAGAATATACCTCATTGGTCTATGTTTATGGCGTTCAAGTAGAATTAAATCAACAGGCAGTGCTACAAAAATAGATGTATCACATCAACATATTGAAAAATTCATCTTATTTCTCAGTACTCATCTACTGTATCTTAATTGTTCCCCTAGACATGTGAGCCATAATGTTTTCACACTGGTTCTAAGAAGAAATCATTATTATAATTACGAACTACAAGTCAACAATTGCCAGGGAATGAAATCATCTACCAGCATGATAGCGTCATGTCGCATACACAAAAAAATTCAACTGCATCATGTAAAGGGAATTGACCAAATTTTCTTGATAATTGAGAGCAGTCATAAAAAAGTCTTAACATTCATATTGTAAGTTGTCACACGTGAGACGACATCAGTTAAAATGCAATTGGATAACATTAAAGCCTACTACTCTTTAACAGACATAATAAAACAATTTCGCTGATGTATCCAATACTAGTCTATCTTTCAGAATAAGAAAATATCTCAAAACAAAGACATATATTTGAAGCAACTTTTTCTTAACGCCAGAGTATAGAATACACTTTATTCTATTATAGAATGTATATGGTTTTGAATAAAGCATTCTATAGGAGTAGAGGGAACGAATATTTAAACTGCTCGTGTATTATGTACCGCCTGTTACATACATACTGTTTAATATATTTGCAAATTAGATTTTTCTTTCTTATGATATCTGTATTAAGATAAATAAGATATACAACATATAATATCTTTGACTATCAATACTGAGATAAAAGCATTCTAGCGTCTTTATGCAATTATACAACAATATACCAAAAGAAACCATATAAAAGAACTATTACAAAGGTCATCGTCATTATAATATACGAATTAAACTTCAAAATAGGAAATCTATTTGAAGAATATGTTTCTATTGGAGGATACCTCAATCTATTGACTACAAAACGGCTATAAGACGTTTCTTTGAATATGGCACATATTTACAACAAAATAAAGAACTAATACATTATCCTCAACCTTTGGTTGGTTTTTCATCATTGTGTTACATCATCTATTTTTGCCCAAATTTTCAAATGGCATATTCAAATGAGTTCATCTTTTTAGAGATTCTGAAAACAGCAGAAACGTCACCACATTACGCTCATACAAGCTGATATAAACATTAATTCAAAAGAAAAACAAATGGCGAAGAAATATATACAGATAAAAATTGCATCGTACTCGTCTATAATCGATCGAAATCATTAATTGAATTTCGATTAATTATTATAAAACTATGTTTTCATAATTTTGAGGAGTACTGTAAGTTACAACCTTTATATGATACAACTGAAATATATGTAAATGTATAGTATTTATCTTGTTGATATGTATCCTCATTTTTTTTCTCAGAAACAGTATTAATAATAGAGCAATAACAAAAAAAAAATCAAGATTCAGAAATATATGACCGTTTAATTTTTTTATGTAACATCCATGATATTTAAAAAAGTAAACACTCGAAATAGATCAGTAGGAATCGGTGGTGGTGTTCTAGTTGATAAGAAAAAAAATACAGTCTAATATTAATTCATTTGTATCTTATTTCCTTATTATTGTAATAGGAAAGAGATGAGAGTTTTGTCGGTTAAATTATACATAAGATATTGTCGATTATTCTTCTCAAAATACTAATAATCAATCTGATATAAAAGTACATTTGATAATGTAGCGAGATATTCGAAGTGTTTTGGCTTAGTATTGTGATAAACTTGATGAAATATGAAACAATTCACAATATTTTACTAGATGAAGTCTTTATGCTAATATAGAGTTTGTTTTAATAAAAGATTAATTTATAAATCAGTCTGATCATATTTAAATTATATTCGACATTTAATTTGCTTTAATAAGTGTTTGACGAGCATTTGATAAAATGATAACAATTGGAATAGGAGAACGAACATGTCAAAGAATATTCAATATGCTTGAAACATTAAATATCGATATGAACTAAATATATCAAAGAGATCATTAGAAACAAAATATTTAGAAGAGAAAAACATACCCGTGTAAAATTAAGTCAGTAGTTTTTTATAACCTGTTCAACATATTTTGAATTTGAAGATATGTCTGGTTTTAATTTACTTGTTGATACAAGTTTTACAGGAAGAAACTGATAAATAGCTGATAATAACTGTTTTAGACATGCACGAATAATAATATTAAATCCCAAAAAATAAACAAAATTTTGAGAAAACTTCCTAAACAATATGAAAACATTCGTCCAAAAACTTCAAGTACATTGATTTTTATTTCTTTCTATATTTTATCAATTCGATCTGCTCGTACATTAACACTACTATATGCAATTTTACCAACACTTATAGGATACTATATCTTTCATATAACATTAAATTTTCTGTCATTTTTATGAATTCAACAGAAAAATTTATATGATTCTTTCATTTATTAAACAAACGAGTGCTAAACATCATACAACAAAGTATAAAAAAAAACAGAATCAAAAAATCCAATTTACGAATCATTTCGTATATACAATTATTATTAAAAGATCTAACAACAACATCTTGTTTATTGAATAAAAAGTTTACTAATTTGCGTATTTTCGTCGTTTCTTTTTAGACGACGTTGAATCACCAGTTAACAATCTAAAACAGATATTATAATTATAAGTAAATAAATATCCAAGTACCAGTTTTAAATCAGAATACTTTTTAAAGATTTGTTTCGGATTAAAACCACTCAGAGTTTCAATTGTTAACGCAATTGACGAAGCATTCTCTGAAATAGATAATATATTTGGCTATGATTTCTTCTTAATTCCTAAACATTAAATCATATTCGAACTACTACTAAGCCATTTGATGAGAAATTGTCAAGTGGCAAAAGCTCAAAGACCGTGTGACAGATGTCTTACGAAAATGTAATGTACCTTGCACTATATTGTTTCTAAGATTATTGATGACTGTATTCAATGACAAAGTCAATGTCGATTCTCTAATGAAAGTATATTTGTTTCACATTGTTACATGAGAAACTGAACTTACTGTTGAATAAAAAATATGTGATCGTCGGGATCTATTATGACATTCATGTTTTTCAGTGTTGCAATATCTTGTAACACCACTAAAATCACATTAATAAGATTCCTTCAATATACCCATATTTACTCACGGTCGTGTTTGCCCAATTTGTAATTAACAAAAATACGTTTTTTCAGTGTACAAATTAAGTACGTTTTTTCTTCTTCAGATACACCTGGATTTTGACCTATAAGTTCATTTAATTTCTGTAAAAAAAGAAAATGATGATTCAAACTATGATTCAGAATTTTAAAAAACAATTTACTGCTTCACACTCTTTGTATTGTTTATTTATGAATAATACATCCATTTGTGCATATGAAGCAAGATACGTAACATCCATGTTCGATGAAAAAAATCAATAGACAAATACAATAAACACGTGTAATAAAGGATGTATATTGCCTTGAACTCGACGACGTATGTGCGATATTAACAGTGTATATGATATTGTACACTAGTATATATAGAAATGATCGTTCCCGACGAAAAGATAGTTCGTCCAGAACATATAAAAGCGAATGACTGACAAATGAAAGAAATAAAAAAACTTTAATTCTTTTTTTCTTTCTTCTTTCGTTAGTCATTGTTCGACATTATCAGACGAAGATGTTTGTATATATGAATATAACTTCGACGACTACCGTCTGTTGAAGAAAATACTGAACATGTTTTTCACTGTCTATCAAAAGTCTATGAAAGACTATTATATTACAATTGTTTTAGGGAATATCTTTTCGAGAGAAGTCTATTCGACAAAAACGAATTGATTTTTAAAGGGTTTTAGAACAAGATAAAAAAAAAGAAATATACCATAGAGAACCATGATTATTTGCCAAGAACCAATGCCAATCCCAAACGAATCATAAAAGACAAATAATGACATAAAAGTTGATGGATCGATTAACGACTTCTATAGGTTGAACATTAACATTACAAATAAATCTTTGCTTTTGTTCTTCTTGATTCCGAGTAGCTGTTTTTACCTCAAGTGAACCAGCTTTTGAGCAAAATATGAACGAGTGTGATAGGTAATATTAGCAGATGAAAGAAAAGTTTTTGACTCATTCATTGCTCTTCTTTTGTATCATCGACCATATTTTAACAAATATCTGAAAACAAGTTGACAAAAATATAGTTAACATTTAGAGAATTTTTTTTGAATTATGTTAACTAATTTTTATTTTTATTAAAAGTCATCAAATGACGATGTTTTAACACGATCTTTTCGACAATCAAGTATCTTTTCAACAATAGGAAGAAATTTAGCGGTAGTCAGAGTTAAAGAATCATCATTACTTATTTTTGCTTGATGTCTATGTGATTGAATAAAACGATTATTTTTCTTTGTTTTTTTAAACAAATATTAGCTTACTTTGTTGTTGATACATGTCGCTCTTCTTTGTCTTCTACTTTCTCCCCTTGTTAATCATTATAAACATGATCATGTTTTCTTTTTGCTTATATTTGAAAAAGTTTTTCTTCATCTTTATTGTCACTAAATGTTCGATCTAATGTTGAAATCTATCGAAAAAATTTTTAATCCATATATGATCATGATTATTTTCATTTCATTAATATTTTCTTTTTTAAGCAATACGTACACGAGATTTTGAACACACAATCATGTAACGTTTGACTATAATTAGCTGTACACATTGCACGTAAATTTATGGATATAACTGATGAAAATAAACAAGAAAATCAACAATAAAAAACACAAATATTCGAAGATGAATTAATCAAACGACGAGTAATTACTGCTAAACTTAAACGTGAAACTGTAGATAAACGATGAATTTTTTTACATATGTCGTTCCTATTGTAGTAGCTATTCATATCACTTTTTCCTTTGTTTGTCCTTTCAAATATATGCCTATTGAACTGTACGACAAAATAATATAGCTGATATATGTGTTCAAAGTGACTTTCCGGACATTATTTATGGCACATATAAATGCAATCATCCACAAAAGTCACTCAACAAAACCCAGCATATGTTCATTATATGCACAAACAGTTCACGGAAACAAATTCAACTTTATTTTTCAGCATCTCACTAGTCGATATAACAGAATAGGGAAAAACAGTCAATTAGTTTCAACATCGTTTGGCACAATTGTCTGATAATCATGAAGACTGAGCCAATGTGTATTATAGTGCAGCACATTTTTATCGTTTTACTGATTAGTATTATGAAGAAGTGTTAGATTTTGTACGTCGTGCTAAACTTTTACAACGTGTAAAGTTGAATAAATCTAATGTTGATTCAGCTCAAATTCTAGCTGGTATTGTTAGTGTGTTTACTATGAGTTACAAGACTATCAACAAGAGTTATTCTACTATCAAAAATCTAATGAATCTTTACTAAAAAAATCTTACCTGACAATATTTCTAACAAAGTCATTAATTGTTTGCAATCATACTGCCTTCGAGGTTCATCTGGATAGAGTCCCTTGTTTTATATAATATAGGTTTACTACATTATTTATTAGGACACATGAATATTCTCTTTTTATGAAGAAGCATTAAAAAAGCATGAGACAACATTACCACGTCATCGTCCTTTTATAGATCAATCATGTTATCAATTAAGCATATTATATGAAGAACAAGATCAATATGACTTAGCGTTGGAATATGCTTATCGAGCACTGAATATATATGAAAAGAAATCATCGAATAACCATAAACTGATATGCGATGATCAAAATTTAATTAAAAGTCTTTATCAAGGAATCAAATAGCCAAATATAATTATTTGTTTTTTTTTGTATAAGAAAAACTGTATTCGATTATTTTTAAAATGAACAATGTAAATAAGTTTATCTATTTTCGATGCATATTATAAACTATTTTATTTAATAAATATGAAATTTATGAATTAACAAGACAATAATAACGTCTACATAGTTTAATTATTGAATGACAGTAAGAATACGAAAATCACCAAATGTAACTAATTCGTAATCTGATGAAGAAAATTTTAATATTTTGTTATATTAGAGTAAAACATTATTTTATTGTATACTTATTCTCAGTAACTAAAGATAAAGGCATTATGACTAGCTAATAGAACTATTTTTCATTTCAAAATAAAATCGACTCAGTTGTTTGTTGAATAACTCGACAATGCTGATAGCTATCGAGCTCGGGTTTTCACCATTAAAAAGTGGATGGTTGGAGGTACAACTCTATCTGAGAATCAAAATACTCGAAAAGTTTTCTAGAAAATTTCAGGAAAACTGTTGTCTGGTTTCTTTGATTAGGTGTATGTTCAATTTCAATTTTGCCATATTGTAGTCCAATGTCTCCTCTATAAATTCTAAAATTTTCAGGCGTTTTCGATCTCTCCTTAGAAAACTATGATCATTTTACTGAATTTTCGACCCTTTTCTAGGTATTTACTGGAAAATCAAATTACGAAATTTCGACCTGAAAATTTGCCCATAGATAGGTCTAATGGCTCCTAAAATATCCTGAAAGTTACTTTCTCGTGATGTTGAATTTTCAAGTAAGGTTGAAAATACACCTAATCAACTGGATCAGACAGTGATTTTCTAGATAACTCCTAGAAATCTTTTAAAGTATTTTGACCCTTAGATAGACCTGTACTGCCACTCATCTTCTTTTTAACAGTGAAAACTTGAGCTTGATAGTGATTGGTCTTGTCGAGTTCTTTAACACACAATCGAGTCCATTTTATTTTTGAAATGGATAATAGTTTCATCTTTCAAATAAAAAAAAAAAAGAAAAGATTTTTGATTAAATTTGCTTAGTAGTTGAATAATATGTATTAGCTAAATGACTATGACTTTTAGGACACTCTAGTTTACAATATTGCCTCAAATATAATCAAAAGTCTTAATAAGTCATGTCGCTGTAAAAGTGCGTCCTTTGAATTGGGAATCTAAGTTTATAATAAGTTGTTTACGTTACTTTATATCATAATTACTATATTAATTAACAAAGATTGCAATCTTATATCCTAATAGTTAAAATTAGACCTATTGACTAATTGATTTCTATATTTGTTGTTTGTTTGACATTACATAAATCAAGATTTTCTCAATTTTTCTTTTGAAAAAATCGCATTTTATGTTTCCTGATAGAAGAATATAACCCAAAAGATATATTAATCTTTTTCTTTCTTCCATCTTTTCTGCCCTAAAGAAATATATCTATATTTTCTTTTTTTGTGTTCCCACAATTATTTCTACACACCATATGGTGTTATCAATCATTATCTTCGCTATGCATTTATCTTAACTATTGTTAATGGATTCCGAGATGTTTGTTATTCTCATAGAATACCATATGTCTTTTTCTACATTCTAATAATAGTTCTATAGATAGAGAAAAGAAAAGAGAAATGTCTATATAAATAACCGTATCGACGTCTGATATATGCATTCGCTCTAGAGCTATTTCTCTATAAGTATTATATTAATACAATGCTCAAGTTCGCAGTAACTTTGTGTATTTTGGTTGGAATATTATTAATTTCCAATACAAATGGTTTCTTTCTTTCAGCAAAAGAAAAATGTGAAGTATCAATTTTCAAAGGTGGTAAAGATTTTGGTGGTGAAAAAATTATGGCACATAAATTATTTGTACCATCTTTAAAATCAATTGGTTCTGTTGCTAAAGCTTGTAAAGTACAAGTTCATGTTACTGATTCATTTAAACGATTAAAAACTCCAAATGATTTTACATTAACATCAGAAATGCCATTGATTGTTGGACATGGAATTCGTTTTGATTTAAAAGATCAAAAAGGTGGAACTTTATGTAATCCTTTATGTATGAAATCACGTTCATGGAGAACACTTAATGATGCTAATTGTTTTATTAATGGTGTTCAAAAGAAAGGAATTAAATTTACAGAACCAAATCTTTTAGATGATGGTCAAGTAGCTAAATTAAGTTCAGTAGATGCTGAAAAACTTAAAGTACAAGTACAAAAAGTATGTGCACCAAAAACCAAAGCACCTAAAGGTTAAATATTATCAAACAATCGAAAAATAACTTTTACTTTTTATTTGATAAACTTATATATATAAATATTGTCGAAATGAATACATTTAGAGACAAAATTAAACAAGATTTTATTTAATCAAAATTCATTGTTAACCATATATGATTGTCACATACGCTTTTTTTTTTAATCACATATTTACCTTCATTATATTAATATTTGAATAAAACTTATCATAATTGATGAGCATAAGAGCATAAAAGTTATTGTATGGATTCATATATGAATAGACATATAAAGAATGTCCCATAACAACTGAGAATAAATTGTCAATGGTAGTTTTTATACTTTTTCTTAATGTAGAAGGCTGAAAGGACAAGAGGAATCGATAACTGTGACAATTGGTCTCCTCGAGAAATTTGATTTCTTCTATCTCAAACTATTATACATGATGTCCCAAAGTAAGATCTAATAGAATTAGTCATAGAGCATTTATTTTTGCTGTGTACAGATTAATTGAAATATTCAATTGGCATTATACGCACATTGATTGGATGAATAGTAGTAACAACGAATCATCGATTGTTACAAAAAAAGTTGCGTTCAATTACTACTCGTGTTCAAAACGACCTCGAAACATTGACAAGATAAGATTGCAGACGATCGAGAAAAGTGATAGATTCAAAAGTGGTAACGGCAGACGTTAGATCGAGATCAATGGCAACAAGTGGTCAACAAACATACGCTATTTCAACCATTATTATCAGATATTCAGATCATTGCTCAAAAGACTAAACAATAAACACATGTAAGAAAACAAACTACAATAATAAAAACATTCTATCCTCAACTAAAGCTAATAGAAATAATTACTCGTAATATAGACAAGACCTATACATGTCCACAATGTAAGAAAAATTTCAAACCACAAGAGATCACCAACCGCGTCAAGGTATGCTCAAAGTTGTGGTGTATATAAAACAATATTCATAGATAAAGCATCAACAATCTCCTGATTGAAGAAGTTATGTTTTGTACACTATGATGGGTATTATTGAAACTAAGTCGTTGCAATCTGGAGATGCTATCCAGAACAACAGCCAATGTGTACGAGACCATCGACAATCGTACGGAACACTCACCGAATGGACATCGCTGTACGTTTAACAAACAGAAAGACTGATTTTTTTCTTTTCTTTTATTGTACTATGTTTGATTTTTATCTTATACCGGAAGGTAAGGATATTTAAATAAATAAATAAAATAAAATAATACGTACATTGAACCTAACTATTTATGATTAATCAGCTCATTTTATGTACCCATCTCATGAGCAACTAGGCTATTATTATATGGTTCAATAGCAATTTTCAAGCGATTCAAAATGATATAAAAACATCGATGAGAAAACATTGGACATATAAAGAAATTATTCTCGAAACATGATTTTATGTTCTTTTTTTATCTGATATTCTAAATCAGTATTTCACACTGAGTAGACTTACGTATATTTGAAATATTTTTGCAAACTTTTTTCGTAGTCGAAAAACTCAGCTCTGGTCCTCTCAAGATTCGATCAAAAGAATGAATTTCATCGAAAAGCTATTTCGATAAAATTCGTGTTTTTGACCTACTCCTGCAGGGAATCACGAGTGAATTTTTCGACCACGAAAAAAGTTTACAAAAATATTTGCAATACACGTAAGCCTACTCAGTTTAGTTTTCTCATCGAAATCTACTGAATAATAGTAAAAAAGCTCAAAATCTTATATTCGAGAACAGTGTCCTTGAGATATCTTTCGGTGGCTAATGTTTTCTCCTCGACGTTTTTTCTACCATTTGGAATCACTTGAAAATTGCTATCGAATCATATAAAAATAACCTGATTTCTCATCTTCCTCTTTTTTATCACTTTTTGTATTTTTAATTTTGATAATATGTTTATTTCTTGAAAAGTTTCTTTCATTCTTTTGCAATTTATGTTTCTCATGGATAACAATGTATCAAATACTTTTTTACGAACATTTTCTTTCAATACCCGTCACATATTTTCAATTCTCTCGTCACATCATTATATTGAACATCACTATCTACTGATTCTATGTTTATAAAATAATTGTACTATGAACCATGTAACACCAATATTCCATGGTTTTTTGCAAGACGTTTTCAATTCAATACAAAATATAAAATGTTTTTCTCCATTTATAACTGATAAACATTTCAGATAAAATTTGTCATTAAATTAGGAAGAATCAAGATATCAATGTATTATTGTATAGATAAAAAAAAGGCTTAGCCCATAGCTGAAACTAATACCGGTCGAAATTTTAGATCGCCCGATTGACCGGCACAGCTATAATAGGTTGATTCTTACGGTGAGATTTTTTTTCAATAGTGAACTCTCCCAAGTTACCAACTGAGATCATGAATTTGAAATATCTCAAAATTTATTATAGTTTTCTATTCAAAAATAAAAATAATCGTAATACCAATGCATCAAATATGATTTCATCACACTATCTATCACAATGCATCCATACCGACACCCAAAGAAATTTTATTGCAAGAATCGATCTATGATTGTTGTACCAGTTCATACCAATAGATCGATAAAAAATCGGTAGACCAGTTTCATCTATGGCTTAGTCACTATGTCGCAATTGACCAAGTGTAAAAGGATTACGAAAATTCATGTATTTCAATCTTGCCCATGCATTTCAGCGCCAGTTTAAGTTAGAAAGCTGAAACTTTTGGAAATTCAAGATCTTTCTTTGATTTATATATATATGATAAACATTTCAGCCTTCTAGATTAAGAAAAACTATGAAAAATATTGTTGACCATTTATCCATAGTTATTATGAGACATCTTTTAATTAACACGAAGAATCGAGAATGTTAGAGGAAAACGAAAGGATTTTCGATTCTATTTAAAAAACATACATGTAAATACATGCCATCAGCTTCATGCTGACGTGAAGCATTCATAAGCTCCAATTGTTGATTGGAAAGAGCAAAAGCCATTCGTATTATGCTTTTCTTTTGTTTGTATCTTATTTCATTCTTCGAATAAAGTTAACTCTGTTATGTTAATGAGTATGTATGATATAGAATGTTCGAAAAATAATATCTTTCACAATTGTTCACTGGTCTAATCGATGTAGATAACAATATATAAAAATAGCAATATCAGTTGAAAATTATTCATAGAATATTTTATGATTTAATATATGAAATGAAATTAAGTATCATCAAAATCTAATAGTTAGCATTGTTCATTTTTTTATTATATTCTTGAAATTTAAAAAGAAATTATCAATTTCGAATGAAATAATTTTTTTTCAGAATTATTGTCACGGAACGTTATGATTACGATCAAGAAATGATCTGATAAGCAATAGAAATTCAATTCTTAAGTTTATCGAAAACGTTTATGAATAAGGTATATACTGTCATATTGAACTTATCAAGAATCTATAGTGGTAACTAGAAATCAGTGAACTGATCCAATTGAGACGAAATTCCAGAATAAAATAACCGATATTGTTTATATCTTATTGAGCATTCAACAAGTAGAATATGACAATTGAATAGGGCATAGTATACTAGTAAAAGATTTGAAACTTATTGACATTGGAAGAGAATTATATCACGTTTTATACTGATAAAATTTTTACTAAGCTTAGTATAAAAACTGAATCTCTTTTTCATTGGAAATGGAATCAGAACCAAAAAAAAAGACTACTTTCATTCATATCAAATGATGACCTTTTTCTTGTATTTATACAAAGAGAATTTTTTGCTATTAAAGGATCGGTCATCGTCATAGATTCTTTATAGGCTTACAAACTGCATTATTCTCTATCGAAGAGAAATATTGATTGTCATTAAATTTAACATAAAATTTAATCATTTGAATTAATTAGATAACTTTCTGAGAAGAATCTTTGTTTTTGTTTATTAATTGTTTAATCTTTTCCTTTTTTCATTTTTGAAGAAAATATACAAAAAGAAAAAATATAACTATTTAAAGATCTTCGTCTTTAGATAAATATTGACGAAGACGAGTTAGCATTTCTTTTTTGATTGTGTCTGGTACAAGAGCTAAATTTAAGAAATCAATTTTAAAAAAAAATAAAAAAAAAAAATTTTTTTTTACCACGGCCTTTTGGTGTAATTTCTTGTACAAGTTCATCAACAGTTAGATTTTCAAGGCCTCTTTGTTTAACAATTTCTATTAAGAAAAAAATAACCAATCAATTTGAATAAAATAATATTAATAAAACATACCTTTACAATAAGCTTTCATTTGATCTCTCCATTCATATTCCATCAAACGTTGTCTTAAAAATTGTTTCATTCTATTTAATTTATATTGAAAAAAGAAAAAAAACAATAAATAACAATTATTAAATTTAGAAAATATTTTCATACTGTTCTCTTTCACCACTTTCAATTAATTTTGCATTTAATGCTGCTCGAATCTGTGCATTTTTATCAGCCATATTTCTCAAATAATTTAGTAAAATTAATATTATAAGAGAAATTTTTTGTGCAATAAGTTCAGCTTGTGTTAACCGTACAGAAAAAAAAATTGTTAAACGATTGGTTAATTAATTGTCCATTGATGTATTTATTGTTTTACCACCATTGCACATTTCAATAAGTCTCTCCTTGTTTTTCTTTATAGTATATCGACGAATATTCTTCCTATCTTAGTGGATAATTTCTATTTGATTTCATTTTGCAAGCATGATTGACATTCTCGCACGTTCTTTTACTTGTCCTTATGTTTATAATATAAAATCGAATGATATTTGTTTATTTTAGAAAAGAAAATCGAATCTTTATGTTGAAATAATTCTAGATTTTTATCTTGATCCGGTGTTGAGAAGAAAACAAATAGAATCTATCACAGAGATATGGCCACGGCAAGGCCCAATTATTATTGTCATAGGTGTCAAGCGCATATCGGAAATGTTACGGTAAGATTTTTCATTTAAAAACGATTATTAATGTTTGT